CATTTTGAATTTGATGCCAGCAACACATTCCAACATCGCATCTCAGAGAGGCTGAGTCTTTCAGAAGTAAAGATGAGGGGGGGTTCACCACTCTGTGAAAGACTGCACAATCAAAAGTGCAACAATTTAAGACATTCCTCAACATTCCTCTACAAAATCATGTCTGTTTTTAATGCAGTGCTGCCTGAGGGCCCAAAGATCACGGCCAGCATATACTGGATTTTGGCCTTGTCCCTTACATACAGAGATTTCTTCAGATTCTCTGAATCTTTAAATGATATTTTGTACTGTAGATGATGAAAAACAAAAGTTCTTTACTATTTTACATTGAGAAATGTTATTCTTGAATTGTTGCACTATTTGATTGTGCAGTCTTTCACAGAGTGGTGAAACCCTCCTCATCTTTACTTCTGAAAGACTCAGCCTCTCTGGGATGCTTTTTTATACCCAACCATGTTACTGACCTGTTGCCAATTAACCACCAGGTGTTTTTTTTGTGTTACACAACTTTACCAGCCTTTTGTTGCCCTGTCCCAACTTTTTTGGAACATGTTTCTGGCATCAAATTCAAAAAGGGGAATATATTTTTTTATTTCTCAGCTTCAACATTTGAAATGTAGTCTTTATAGTATTTTCCTTTAAAATATGGTTTACATGATTTGCATTTCATTGCTTTCTATTTTTATTTACATTCTGCACAGCGTCCCAACTGTTTTGGAAATGGTGTTGTATTGTCAAGTGTATGTTTAGTCTTCAAACTGTCTGATGGTAATGGAGTAATGGATTGCATTTGCCTTTTTAAAGCAGTTTAAAACAAAAATTTGATCACTTGCTTGGTGAAAGAAAACATTTTGTAATGTGATCATTGGAGATAAGTGTGACCCAATGATGCAAGTGGTTAAGAATCGGTCATTTGTTCAACTACTTACCTGCTTCAAAAATTCTAATTTTTCATTTACATTTCAAATGAACCATTGGTGAAAGAAAAAAATCAAACTTACAGAATTTTCATGCTGCCAACTGGTGAGGTTTAAGCTTCTGTTACTTGTTAGCAGCATTAGTTCTGTAGTAAAACAATGTTTTACTATCCGGTGTCGACCAGAGGAGGATGGGTTCCCCTTCTGAGTCATGGTTCCTCTCAAGGTTTCTTCCTGTTTCTCTTAGGGAGTTTTTCCTTGCCACTGTCGCCTCTGGCGACGCTCATGGGGGCTTGGACCCGGATTTCTTTCTGTAATGCTGATTTCCTTGTAAAGCTGCTTTGTGACAACACCTGTTGTAAAATGCGCTATATAAATAAACTCTGCTTGCTCGCTCGCTTGCTGTAGCTCCAGTGAAAAACCGCTGCTGCATTCAACAAGAGCTTTGGAATTTTTGACCAGGAAAAAAAACAAAGAAAACGGCCCCTCAAGTGAGAATTTCTACTCAGAAAGTCAAGACGGCATTCTCAACTTTGAGTTTACCATACAATTTCATATTAATACTGTTTTGAGAAGGTAAACACACCATAAATGGTAGTCACATACTAAAGAACAAGCTAGTTGGCTAACTTGCTAGCCAGACAAAGCAATTTTTCACAAATTCCATGTGTTATGTTCAAAAGTTTGCATGGTTAACCAGTTCCCTGATAGCAAACATATATTGGTCCACTGGCTTGATAAGGTCGGTGACCTGTTGACTGTTTGCCACTGCTGGTCCAACTTTGGACCACCCAGATTAGTGTCCTGCATACAAGCTCTGACTAGTTTTAGTTTTTAATCTCCTCAAAAAGATTTTAAATGCACATAGTTTATTTCTTAAAGCAAAAAGCTCAGACAAATATTACCAACAACTGAGAGAAAAATAATTAATGATTAGCCTGATATAAAAAGATTTTATAGAAACTGTTGTTGCTGACACTGTGCGAGATTAAAATTATTTACCAAACTAATTTACAAAGTACAGGGCGATTCAAAAAGATTCATGCGATTTCAAAGCACCATATTTTTACAACCGTGAGGCGTCTAGGAACCAATCACATACCAATTGAAAGAGGGGGTCATAGAGTTTCTGTCTGTCAGTGGAAGATGGCTCCCTTCAGTTTCTGAGCAGGTGGCAATCCCTGAGCAGAAAGCGTTTTGCGTTCTCCACTTCAATAAGAGTGAATCAGTCATAACTGTGCAGTGTGATTTTCGTGGGCAGTGAAGCTCCAACAGCTCAGAGCATTCAGTGTTGGTTCCACAGCACTGGATGATCTCCGAAATTGCACTGAAAGAGCTGTGAGTACAGTGACACCCAACATGCTCAATCCAGTATGGGATGAATTTGACAGTGGCGTTGATGTTATCCGTACAGCTGGAGGAGGTTCATATTGAGCACTTGCAAAATTCTATAATTATCTTTATGCTCAGTTACACCATTTACAATTTACTGCATTGTTCTGTAATGATTTACAAGTGAAATAAGTCATTTTGAAACCGGATGAATCTTTTTGAATCACACTGTAGAACTAAAAAAAAGGAAGAAAGGAAAAATAAGTAAATTGGTCTGTCAGTGGAAAATGAGCGATGATAGGTGGAATTTTGTCTAATACTTTGCTTAACCATTGGTGGGCCACCCAGAAAACCTTGAGCAAAACGCCAGTGGACCGCCAGCTCTGCCATCAGTGGGCCAACAGTGGCCCACTGTCCTCTTGCAATCATGGTCAGCTCACTGAGGCTAACCTAACAGAGGACGAGTGCTTACCATTTGAATAATCCGCTCCTCACTGTCCCCCTCATTCCCTTCTGCCACACGTGGTCACTTTTGTAAAGCAGGTACAACGCACTTCTGAGTGGCAAGTTGAAGTGGACGAGGGCAAGTTAAAAGTATTGTAGCTTGACTTTTGTAGCTTATAGCTGAATGTAGCATAGAGAATCAAACTTCAGACAGGATAAGGGGCAAATTGTGTAAGTTTACACTGAACTATTGCTCTAACCAGTGGGTGGAAACAGTTTTTAGAAAAAGAATTAAAGCAAAGACACAGAGTCAATTTTTAAGACCAAACTTTATTTGTACAAAAATATAAATATATACACCAAAAAGGCCTTGATGTGGCCACAGTGTCTTGTTCTGTAATTAAACCTCTCAGGTCAGGCAGCTTTCTGTGTCTTTCCACTCATTTTCTTTCAAGCTCAGTTCAGTCCTCAACAAGCCTTCAGATAAACTCCTACATTCCATGTAGCTCATTTGAATCAACACTGCACTGACTCAGAGCGACTCGGTCGACCCTTTTCGCAAACCACAATGAAACGCAAACATTACCCTCCTCACATAAACCTAACACTGGAAAAAGACTATAAATCTGTTTGTTCTAGCTAGTGTGGTATAGAATGCATTTCACCATTTATGATGCATTGACTGAGTAATACCACTACAGTATCCCCAGGATGGTGCTGCGTACATGTTTCGAACTGCTTGAAAAGTTACTGGCTTTGTTCCACTGCAAGTCTGTACTGATGTGGAATTCAAAACCTTCAGGCAGTTTTCAGATAAGAGGCTGGTTTATGCCCTGCTTGTTCAACTCCCTTCTAAGAACGGAGGCACAGCGGCACCTTGAACTACCATGTTATTCTAAAATTATTGGCCTAAAGTGTTGTCAGTTCCTGAGGCTTCCTATTTTGTTGGGTTAATCTGACCATTATATGTAGAACCAGTCAAACTTTGAACAAACCTACACATAAAAGTGCTTTTCCTTTATTTTGTAATATAATTTGACCATTTCCCCCATTTCAGTTACCATTAAGACCCACTTTACCTCACAATGGCTGACTGGCTCCGACTCATTAACAGATATTTCACTAATGTTTAATAAAACTACAAGAAAATGTAAAGAGGACGATATAACAACTAAACTTTAGCATTTTGCAACCTTAAAGTTCACTGAAGTTGTAAATGAGAACCATCTATTAGGGAAGGCATTTCAAATTATGTTTTGGTTTTACATATCTTGTTAATGTATTAAAATAAATTGATACATAGAAATCAATTTTAGCATATCTATTTGTCTCAGAAACAAAGCTTTCAGACCAAACTGCCTTTAGGATTCTGAAAAACACGCATTCAATGAGGGGCGTCCAAACTTTGACTGGTACAGTACATATTAGCTGTACATATTAGCATGGATCTTCATGAAAGCTCATTAGACTAGTTTCCATGACTCAGCGCTCTCTCCCTCTTTCCGACTGTCTCTCCGTCAATCTGTCTCCATCTTCCTTTTATTCAGTCTCTCCTTCTCTCTCAGTGAACTGATTATGCAAGTTGTGAGGTGGGGCTCTCTGCTGACGTGGTTATTCTCAAGATTTTCTGCCGCTCCCAAACTAAGGAATGTTAGAGAGAGTGCTAAGCTAACATTCATGAGTTTTAACAGTTTGATCATGGTCAAACATGGAGGCAGGGCAGTGGTTGCTTTTGCGGGACAGTGAAGTATTTCCGTGGGAAAGGCTGTAAGAAAGTGGCCAACATGGTTGAATATTTTCCACAGACAGTTAAGGTGTCAGTGCTCTTGCGAACAATGTAAACGTTAAAGAAAGTTAGCACATAAAATCATGCTAACTGGCAGTGGTAACTTTCATTACTTGTTACAAATGGTAGCATTTAGCATATAGCAGTATTCCTTCACACGTCCTTCAAGGACTGTGTAGCTGTGTGTTATTCTGTAGTTGGTATCATGCTGTATGAGGAACTCTGGGTCTAAACTGTTTTTCTCGATGTTAAAAATAAACGGTGTTCTTCAAAAATTGCTGTGGTGAACAAAGATGTTCAAAGTTTGACATGTTTTATATTGTGTATAAAAATTTACCTCAGAATGTCACTGGATGCTACATCAAATGCTACTAGCAGGCTAACACTTCTGCTCACTGAAATGATGTCGCATGAAAGTAAGTCTACTATTACTATACACTATTATATACCAACATCAATTGCTTAAAGCAGCTTAACTACCACACCAGATAACTTTTTTTGTTTTTTATACCACTTTTTTATACTACTCGTTTTTATAAAGTTTTCTGATGAGGTTACCAGTCTTATGAAGTGACTTCAGAGCGCTGCAATGTTAGCTTGTACATAGCAATAGCCCTATTTTGACTCCTTAACCTCGTAATTCAGAGGATACTGTGACATTAGGGCAAATAATGTACATAGCAAAACATATCAGGTTTAGAATATCTTTGTTAACCACAGGTGACCAATGGTGACTTCTGAAAAACCCATTCATTTTTCACACAAAGAAAATCTACTTAGATGCAAACTTCCTAATATGGCTATTACACCAACTACAGAATGATGACCCAATTTCAGAGATCTATGTTGTCCTCAAAGGAAGTGCAAGGTATGCTGCTACATGCTAAACCGCTAATCACCACCCCAAAAAACAGCTGGCCTGGAACCAAAAACAGAGATGCAAGGGGATCATGCCATCACAAGGTAAACTTTATAGAAAGAACCACTATATTTCATGTTGTCTGGAAAAAATTAGTAAAAAAGGGTGAAAACGTGAATCATGAGTGGTCCATGGATGAAATCAACACTTTACAACATTAACATTACTAGATGTTACCAACGTTATAATGTAGCATGTAGAAACATCCAGTAATATTACCGTTCAGCTCTTAAGCCAGTGAAACCGTTCTTGAAAAAGTTCACTGGTTCCTGGAAACCAGGACCAACTCTGGCAACAGCATCTCCACCTTTTTGTTGAAAAAAGGTACGTGTTTACGTGTACGTGGTACAGTCTTGGTGAAGATGCTGAGCAGCTATGACCACCAGAGGCAGCCTTGCTTCTTGCCACAGACTATTCAACCCAAGACAAACATTCAGATCTCCTTATTACTTTAATAGTTTGATGTAACAGTAGTTGATGGAAACCCATTGTCTTTTGGCAGCTTTTTGGAAATACCTTTGGTTTATCCGTGTGCTTACAAGATATCCCGCCCTGGCGCTGGATCAGGTGTAATAGAGCACAGACAACAGTAAACCATGTTTCGCCCTGGCTCTCTGGTATAAGAGTATGAGTTCTTAAGATCAAGCTAAACGTACGTAGTTCTGTCCGGCTAAATATTTAGCTTGTTTTAAATGCTCAGCTTGGAGCCCTCCATCTTAGTTCATCTCAGTCTAAAGCTGAGTTTATACCACACCTAAGCCAAGGAAAGATTGGGAGCAGAAGCCCTCATGCAAACGTTTGGCTTGTAGGCCACAGGCTGCAGCTCAGCCTTCGGTTTGACCTTGTACTCCGGCTTGTGGTCCAGTTCGTGCATGGGCAGGGTGCAGTTGCTGTCCTGGTCCCGATACTGAGGGTGGTAAAGAGCCATGCTGTGCCCACGGTGGCTCTTCATCTTTTTGGCACATCTGGAGATCCGTTTAGAGATGAGATAGATGATCTCGCAGATGCTGAGCACGATGCAGATGGCCGAGGCGCCAACCATGAAGTAGGTGAAGACCTTCTTCTCCATGGGCCTGCCGATGTAGCAGTCCACCACATTGGGACAGGGCCTGACCTCACACTTGACCAGCCGGGGCAGGTCGAAGCTGTTGTAGATGTGGTGGAGGATGTAGAGGAAGGCCACCTCAATGCCCGTCTTGGCAAAGAGGCTGAGCAGGTAGGTCCACCACAGGCCACCGTGCTTCTTGCCCGTGTTGTCGTAGAGTTTGGCGTCCGCGCCGTGTTTTTCACGGTACTTCCGCTCACGGTCTTCCCTGTACTTGACGTGCATGACCACCAGCAGTGAGGGGCATGTGACGAAGATGAGCTGCAGCGCCCACAGGCGGATGTGCGAGATGGGAAAGTAGTGGTCGTAGCAGACGTTGGCACAGCCTGGCTGCTTCGTGTTGCAGTCAAAGTCCTTCTGATCGTCACCCCACACGCGTTCCGCTGCCACCACGTACACCATCACCCGGAACACGAAGACCACAGAGAGCCAGATTCGCCCAAATGCCGTGGAGTATTTGTTCACCCCGCTCAGCAGGGCCTGGAACGTCTTCCAGTCCATCTCTCACTTTCTCAACTTCTGTTACTCTCCTAAACTCTTGTCTTTTTTCTTGATTCTTGTTTCTTTTCCCCACCCACACGCTTTTTTTCTGATGGTGGGTGTCACTACAGCAACCTGGAAAAAAAACAAACAACTGTATGTCATCTTTATCCGAGATAAAACTGTACAACATGCCAACAAACACCAAAAATGATTCGCACTACAAAATAGTCATATGCAAAAGTTTGGCTGCCCCTGGTCAAATTACGTTTAGTCACTTAAGTACACTTCGTCTACAGAGATCACATTTCTGCACATTTTGTCGCATGGATTGAACTGAATTGAACATATTGGGTGTACAAAAATTATTTTATGGGATTTTTTTCTAATCCATTAAACTCAAACACACACAAATTGTCCCTGTAGAGCAGGGGTGTCAAACTGAACCACTAAAAGGGCCATATTAAATATATAAATACACAGGCCAGCTGTGTTTTTATTTCATTTTTACTTAACATTTTGCCACAACCCCAAATTGATTATATTCAAAATATGCCAAAACTGCAACAGCAAAATAGACACTGAATATCTGAACGATTCAAAAATAATTTTAAATTAAAATCATTGTTTTATATAAAACAATAGGCCACATTAGCGACAGATAACTGTTAAACCCTTTAAATGTCCCCAGGAGGTATGTTTTAAAAACCTGCTTATTTGCTTGAACCAGACACCAGGCATCTTTTCTTTTTGTGTAACCACTGGCCCAATGATTGTTACTAGAGGAAGGGACTTAGAGCGCACATTATGTTGCAGTGCATGCTGGGGATTGTAGTGCAGCTCAGGGTAAAATGTGGTAATAAAAATAGAGAATTAAAATAATTTTGCGGGCTGAATAGGGATGTGCCAAGGGCCTGTTTTGTGTTTGACACATGGGCTGTAGAGAATGTGTTAGCTTATTTTCACTCTCTTAAACTGAAATTCCACTGCAGTTGTTTTTTAAACTAACAACATTGTGTAATAATGCTGTAATTTATGACAGATAGAGCTTAAATACTTAAATGGATATTGTAACTGTATGTTTTGTATACAGATATTTACTGAAAACGAGGATGAATTACACAAAAAGACAACTCTTCCCAAACTTGTTAATGATTTTTCATTCCTGAGGTTAATAAGACTCTTTTTGAGTTGAATTTGACTCTTGTCTGTTGATGTAAACTTCAGAAAAGAATGTTAATTGTGTTTGATCACACACAGCAGTGTGCAGAAGGGATTCATAACGCTGGAAAACAGTGTCGGTGGCTGCATTTGCGTATGGGTTCTTCCTTGTCTCAGTAAGGAAGAGCTCGTATGCAAGAAGCTTTCATATTAAGGGCCAAAGAGACGTGAGATCAATTAATCAGATACAAAATATCAGGAAATTGTACTTGATTTGCAGCACATTCTCTAGAACAACAATACTGGTCACGACAGCGAGGGGCGACATCACTAATTTTACTTTCGATCCGATACCAAGTGATACCAACAGCAATACCAACACTGATGCTTTTAAAAGTCTTCTTGCACACACAAAAAGAGGAATTCTTTATGATTTTAGTGGTGTAAACCAGTAACGGCGTGAGTATCTGCATTAGTATTAAGCAACTGCCACATAAACAGACTTTTGCATTAGTATTAAGCAACTGCCACATAAACAGACTGTTGTTCAAAGGTTCTTTAGGAAGGAAAATGGTTGTATATAGAACCAGGAACACTCAAAGAACCCTTTGCATAATTCAAGGATTCTTTGCATCAAGAAATGGTTCTTCAGATTGATAGAGAATGTGCTATAGATGGTATACAACCTTTTTGAAAAGGGTTCTATATAGAACCCAAAGGGTTCCTTTATTGTTACAAGCTTGACACCGTACGAATAGAAGAACTCTTTTGGGTGCTATATAGAACCCTTTTCAAAAAGGTTGTATACCATCTATAGCACATTCTCTATCAATCTGAAGAACCATTTCCTGATGCAAAGAACCATTTCACCATGCAAAGGGTACTTTGAGTGTTCCTGGTTCTATATAGTACCTATATAGTAACTATATAGTACTATTTAGTAACAAACCATTTTCTTTACTAAAGAACCCTTGAAAAACCATCTTTTTTAAGAGTGTTTATTTGCTTCATTCTTTCTTTCACCACCAAAAAGACTTTTTATGATCAGCTGAATAAAAAGATGGATATTCCGTTTACTGTTTAAAGAAAGCAGTATTAATACCTTCACGTGAAGACTAAGGGTTGCATAGACTAGTACACTAGTTGACTTGTTGAATGCTGCTTTAAACTTGAAGTCGACTAGCCGCTGATCTCATGATTACGACATTAACAACATGGACGCCTCGGTGAAGACAACAGGTGAGGAGCGTTGCAATCTCTGGTTCCCTGAAGGCGATGCAATGCGATCCAGAGCTTGTTGGCCATGTCACGCTCTACTGACCTGTGGAGTTTGGCTTCGTTATGGATTTTAAAAGTCAAAATTTTTAAAGTCACTTGCTGCAAAGCATTCCCTTCTCCTGTGGTCTTATTCATGACATCATCAGCGATTAGTCGGCGTCGACTCGTCGACTTTCAACACATAACTGTCGACTTTAAAATATCTGAAGTTGAGCATCCCCTACTGAAGACCGACATCAGGATCAGGAATATCGATATTTCAGTATCAATCCGCCCAAACCTAGAGATCAGCACACATCCCGCTTGTAGTATTTACTGGACTGAGAGAAAGGCCTGTTTATATGGGGGTCTTTTTCTTGTTGAAATATAGCTAATGGAAATGATCTAGCAGTAGAAGTGGGCAATATGACAAAATGTATCATTATGGTCATTAATTACATCATATTTGGTTGATACTTGAAGAACAATTGCATGATTTATTACAAAGAGAACATAATTAGTATTTTTTTCAATAAAAAATAAAAGATTAGTGCAGTTATAAATTTAAAAGGTCTGCCCTCATAATTTTGGTAGTCATATTTAAAGTTGGTTGCTTTTGTCTGTACCAACCTCGGAAGAACTAAATATCCTCTTGAAATATCGTTATGTTATATATTGCCATGTCGCCCATCCCTTTCTTTTCTTGTTCCAGTATATATCAAAGCCTTAAAGGGGAATTTCTGAGGACGCCTGATGTCCGAGACATTGTTCTACGATAGTTTTGATAGCTCTGAAATTTATTCATGGTGGAGGGGTACATGCAGAGCGTTGTGAGGCAAAATAGTCCTGAAAAAAAACGTATTTTTCTAGATTTACCACTACTTTACCAACATCAACATCACATATAAAAACTCATGTAGGTTCTCTGGTAGTTTTGGGTGGTAAATAAAATGGCTATATTTGTGTTGTAGACATTGTGACGCCTGGTTCCCATCACCACCACTGTAAAGAAATCCGAGTCTGTAAGGAGGAGCGCACAACTCCAGTCCTGGAGGGCCGGTGCTCAGCACAATTTGGTGAATTAACTGCTCTACAGTGAACCATTACACATCAAACCACTCTGTCTTGACGAGTGACTCTGAGACCATCTCAACCACTGAATTATGCAGAAATTTATAAAAATGGATGGAATTCCCTTTTAAACTGGGCCTTCGCTAACCAGCTTACAATGAGCAGAATTTGAACCCACAACTGAAATGATCATTTAAGCCATACAGTAAGCTAATTATAATTATATAATTATATTAATTGTACTGTATTTGGTTATTCACTCCACTGTCAGCAAACTGTTTGTTATGTTGCACATACACAATTATAATAACCACATGGTGGAGTTCAGTTTGCCTTTGTAGGTTTGCACTGTGGCCTGTAGATTAATATATACTATTGTTGCCAGACCAGTTTAACACGACTCTCACCTCTTTTTTTACACTTGAAAATCACTGAGGTACATCTTCACATGCCTTGATAACAATCTCCTCAGATTTAGGGGCCTAAAACTATGAGTATGCTCTATTTCTATTCTAAATGCAACCACAAATGATGACTTTAAGATGTTTAAGACTAGTAGATACAGTGCCTGAATGGCTGAAAGGAGAACTCCACCAATTTTTCAAAAATTCTATATCTAATCTGATGTTTGAGATGTAAAAAAGTTATTTAGCACACCAAGAAGAAGAGAAACCAAGTCAGAGCTGTTCACAGTGGCAGTGATAGGAACCAGGCATCCAAATAGTTTAATGCCTCTGAAAGCTCCCTAACAGGAAGTAATTACATAAAATGTTTAGATATATGCCGCCTGATGTATGAGACATTGTTTTATGATAGTTTTGTGAAAGGGTTTGGGCTTAAAATGTATTTGAATCCCTTTATTGTATTCTATTCATGGCGGAGGGGTACATGCAGGACATAGCAAAGCAAAAGAAAACATTTTTTTCAGATTTATAACTATTTTACCATCAACAGTATTACAAATTCAGAAGACACATGTAGGTTGATGGGTTTGGGTAGTAAATAAAATGCCTATATTCGTGTTGTGACCCCTGGTTCCTATCACCACCACTGTAAAGATATCAGAGTCTGTAAGTTTCTCTATAATGAACCATTTCACACCAAACCACTCTGAAACCAGTGAATTATGCTGAACTTCTGAAAAATGGTGGAGTTCCCCTTTAAGTAAAAAGCAAAAGCACTGTCTGGCTAATCAAACGCACATCCTAAGCTTCGTATTCTAGTTCCTGACGATTAAAACGTTCTAATTAATACAAATGGGGTTATAAAATTGGACTATTTTCCTGCCTTTCACCTTTTTCTATCATATCTCTGAAACACATCTGAACCACAGACTGGCTGATCTTACTTACTTAATTCCAGCACATTTCGCTTCAGCTGACAGGAACTCCGCTCCTCCAGCGAGGTTTTGCAGCCTTATAAATCCAACTCGGTGAAGTAAAAGTCGTAGAAAGATCGATGAGACTCCTGTGAGAGTTAAACAAAGAAAACAGGCTCAGCGTGTCTGAGGGTGGAGTTGTAAAAAAAATCAAGCAGAAACGCTCAAACTTACTCTGCGCTCTGGAATCACTCTGAGGCGCTGACCTGCCTGCCTGAACAGGCGCTTACAAATCTCCTCCTCCAGGGGTCGGACCGAAAAACACGGAGCACAGACAGGAGCTCAGCTTCACAGCCGCTCAGTTTCACAGGCAGGTGAGAGCGAAAAAATCCGGAAAAAACACGAATGTTGAAGGTAACTTTAAGTCACGGAATAGTTCTGTGAGCAGGCTGATGGTTACACAGCTCCGCCCCCAGTGAGAAAAACAGCTAAAGCTGCCTTTTAGCCATGAAGCCTTATTTCACTGACAAAAGTTAATTTAAAGGGGAATTCCACCGAATTTACAAAATATGACTGCCTAATTCAGTATCTGAGATGTAAACGAAGTCATTTGGTGCGGTTTACTGTGAGATGGTTTATTGTAAATAAATGTATCGACTCATATTTCCTTAGAATAGTGGTGATCGGAACCAGATGTCTACAGCACAAACATAGTAATTTTGGTTACTAATACAAATGACTACTAGTGAATCTGTATGTGAGGCTTGTGATGCTGATAAGGATTAATATATATATATATATATATATACATAGATAGATAGATAGATAGATATACACACAACATTATGACCACCTCTTTGTTTCTACGCTCATTTTCCAATTCATCAGCTCCACTTACTATATAGGATATAGGTGCAGTTCTACAGTCTGTAGATTCTGAGTCGTCATTACAGACTGTAGTCCATCTGTTTCTCTGCATACTTTGTTAGCCCCCTTTTACCCTGTTCTTTAGTGGTCAGGACCCCCATGGACCCTCACAGAGCATTTACTATTTGGGTGGTGGATCATTCTCAGCACTGCAGTAACACTGATGTGGTGGTGGTGTGTTAGTGTGTGTTGCGCTGGTCTGAGTGGATCAGACACAGCAGTGCTGCTGGAGTTTTTAAACACCTCAGTGTCACTGCTGGACTGAGAATAGTCCACCAACCAAAAATATCCAGCCAACAGCGTCCTGTGGGCAGCGTCCTGTGACCACTGATGAAGGAGTAGAGGATGACCAACACAAACTGTGCAGCAGCAGATGAGCTATCATCTCTGACTTTACATCTACAAGGTGGACTGACAAGGTAGGAGTGTCTAATAGAGTGGACAGTGAGTGGACACAGTGTTTAAAGGCTCCAGCAGCACTGCTGTGTCTGATCCACTCAGACCAGCACAACACACACTAACACGCCACCACCACGTCAGTGTTACTGCAGTGCTGAGAATGATCCACCACCCAAATAGTACCTGCTCTGTGATGGTCCATGGGGGTCCTGACCACTGAAGAACAGGGTAAAAGGGGGCTAACAAAGTATGCAGAGAAACAGATGGACTACAATCTGTAATGACGACTCAGAATCTCATAATAATGACTTACTACCTGAAGTAATTACTTTCTTGAAATTGACTGGCTCATTATTTGAATCTCATTGAAAGTCATTGTTTTGAGACACTAAGTCTATATTTCAAGAAAAATGTGTTTTAGTGACCTCCTTTAGATTGACATTTACTCCTATAGAACTTGTTTTAGCTCTACAAAAGTCTGCTCAACACTGTAATTAGTACCTGTGTGATACTAAACATAAGTGACTTGATTGAATTAACCAATTTAACCAGGTTTAGGTTTAGTGTTTTTAACCACAGAGCTAAAAACTAGCAATAAACTCAACTGCGCTGGCAGATCATGACTGTGTTATTCACATGACTGTGAATTTTGACATAGTATCTCACAATAATGACTTAATTTATCTACTACTAAGTATAAATATGATACTATGAGATACTATGTATCTACTACGTATCTCATATTAATTACTTATTGTGCTGAAATACTTTCTTGAAATTTAATAACTTGAAAGACATTATTTTGAGATATTAAGACTATATTCCACGAAAATTAGTCATTATTTCAAGATATGAAGTTAATGTTTTGAGAAAATAATCAGCACTTTATTAACATGTGAAAATGTTTATGGACACGTCTTTAGAATTGTTTAGTTTTTAAGTATATAGTTAGAATTACAGCCTTGTTACTCTGTCATGTAATATAGTCCTGCACTAACAAAACACTTTTGAGCACATCAGTTTTTGACAGCTGTGTTTTTTTAGTATCTGTCTTTAATTGGACCCAAATGTAGGCTTCTGAATCTGCAGCTGTGTCGTAGACTGTTTTTCCAATTCAAAGCAGTTTTTCATTAAACTCCTACTGAGCAGCCTGACATGAAATGAGCCTGAAAATATATACAGGGTGATGCAAAAAGATTCATGCAATTTCAAAGCACCATATTTTTACAACTGTGAGGCGTCTAGGAACCAATCACATGCCAATTGAAAGAGAGGGTCATAGAGTTTCGGACTGTCACCGGAAGATGGCTCCCTTCAGTCTGAGAGGAGATGGAGACCCCTGGGCAGAAAACGTTTTGCGTTCTCCACTTCAATAAGAGTGAATCCATCATAACTGTGCAGTGTGATTTTTGTCGGCAGTGAACCTCCAACAGCTCAGAGCGTTCAGTGTTGCACTGGATGATCTCCGAAATTGCACTGAAAGAGCTGTGAGTACAGTGACACCAGACATGCTCAATCCAGTATGGGATGAATTTGACTGTGGCATTGATGTTGTCCATACAGCTGGAGGTGGTTCATATCGAGCACTTGCAAAATTACATGATAAACTTTATGTTCAGTTACACCATTTACAATTTACTGCATTGTTCTGTACTGATTTACAAGTGAAGTAAATCATTTTGAAATCAGATTACTCTTTATATATAATCACCCTCCTAATTATTGAATTCAGGCGTTTCAGCCGCACCCATTGCTAACAGGTGTTAAGTGCATAAAATAAGCACATAGCCATGCAATCTCCAAACACTGGCAGTAGAGTGGGTCATACTGAAGAGCTTAGTAACTTTAAACATGGCACTGTCATAGGATGCCACCTCTGCCACATGTCAGCAATTCCTGGCCTGCTAGATCTGCCCCAGTCAACAGTAAGTGCTGTTATTGTGAAATGGAAGCATCTAGAAGCAAAAGCAGCGGGACCACTCAGTGTTGAAGTGCATCACATGTAAAAATCAACTAAACATAAATACAGTAAGTGTTACAATCATTCCTTATTTTCAAAACAGTAGTTCAAGAAGAACAAAGTTTGGTTCCATATTTCTTCTGGATGCATGGATTTATTCACCAGCACACGTGATTTAACAGTATTGATTAGGCAAACCAGGTATTGGATGATATCTACAATTAATACTGGGATGCTATAAGGACAGATTTGGAAATGATATTGACATTAATATACATATAAAATTGCTGCTGGGACAAAACCTTTTTGACAGAATTTGAACTCCAGCTGTGTTAAATTCGTTCATCATTTCAAGATGAATTGATCAACAAAAATATTTGGAAAAACTTAATAGATTTTACTGTACAAAAATATGCACGTATGTCCATACTCCGACTTGGAAGTTAACAAAATACTGTTTCCAACATCTGCTCGTAAGAGGCGCCTGCACAGTTTAGAAAAACCTCAGCATGGTAAGAGTTTCCATGAGTGTGACCTAAAGCGTCCTGTTTGGAATATTCTGCCAAGCAAGCTGTGGTGAGCAGTGCTTCACTCGGGACGGTTACATTCAACCCTGTTCAGACTTGCCCCAGACTTGTGTCACGCAAGGGAGGGCCCACGCCTTTTCGCTAAAGGAAGGCCTTTGAAATTTTGCCAACTCACTGATTTTAAAAGGATTTTGTTGCTTGGAAACCTGTGCTTATGTGGTGGCTTGTAAAGGTGGGGCAAGGGGTCTCACTAGGTCTGACAATTGTTGGCACAAAAAAAAAAAGGGGTTTGTTTTTCAGCATTTCTTGTGAATGGGAGATCAAGTTTCCTCAGTTCCTCTACAATGAGAGTGTATTATAAACTGTGTATAACAGCCCCAGCGACATGTGTTTATTCTTGCATTGAGCTGGAATCACTTTAAAAGTTACTACATAGTCACCACTAGTTTTCATCTATAACAGTCGTAAATGGTGTCTCCATTGATTTAGAGTGAAATCACTGGTGTTTAATGAACTCCCTTAGATTTACATTTACTCCGATAGAGCTCGTATTAGCTTTACAAAAGCCAGTTCAGCATTGCGATCAGTAACTTTGTGATTTTAGCATGTGAGCTCATGCATGCCATGTAGGATAGGCCTTTATTTAGCCCACAGAAGCTAATGCTTGAGATCTTTCATCTTTCATCATAGCCAGACAGCTAGTAGATGTTTTGGCTTCAAAAAGGATCCTCCAAGCTAAAGACGATGGTGAGATATGGTCAAGGAAATGCAGCAAATTGAGCCAATTATGCTACAGGAAGAGAGGACTGAGAGAAAGTTATGCAGCTGGACTGGCCAGCAATGTGTAGTTCAACAACACCACTATGACTGTGATGCATTTTTCATTTTATCTGCATTTTGCAGTCCTGCTTGCAGTGCGTTTATGTCATTTTTGAAGAAAAGTGCACATTTTAAATGCATTTTGCTGTACAGCAGCCGGCTGCAAGTATTTCCACTCACGCTAAACACTCCACTCCCTTCCTGAGGGGACGTTAGAAATCTCCATGAAAACACACACATAATCATCACTGGCGGGCCGGATGACTCACCACTAAAGCCCGCTGCATGGTACAAAGCCACATGTGAAGGGAAGACCTCAAATTAGTCATTCCCAGTAATTCAGCTGATGAAAACTCCTGGATGAATGGGAAAATGACCTCTCAGTTCTCCTTAGCGTAATCAGTCAGGCAAAACATGTTTGTTATCACAAGTCTTTTGCACTGGAGCTACAAGAAAAGGTTAATCTATCTTACGAATAATGGAAGCTTATACTTCCCCAGTTAGTGTGGTGCAACTGCCTGACTAAATCATCATACTTCCTTCAGGTTGGTAAATCTACTCAAACAGACTTGCTTATGTGGTTTCTGACACTGTACCTTTATAAAAACATGGACAAAATTACACCGCATTGCTAAAAACTGTAGCAGCAATCATAAGCTACCATTACTTGTTACTTACATTAGCCTTGCAGCTCCACTGCAAAACTAAAGAAGCAAACGTGTCTTGCCTGACCAGCTACACTGTCTCATTCAACGTTTCTTCTGAAATCCAGGGTATTTAAAT